GGTACAAGATCCCAACAATGAATGTGACTGTACTGTATCCCTAAAATGTACCAATAAACTCAAAGCTGGAAAAAAAAAAAAGGTCTGTACAGCACAGAGAGATTAATAAAAGAAAACTGAAGCCAAATTTTGCTAATGATGTAAACTCATATAGTTAAAAGTTTGAGTATTCATTTTTCTTATTTACATGGTTACGGCCTTTGCTGCTACCACCCTTCTTCACTAATTAACACAACAAGCTGGGCGTGGTGGCGCATTCCTGTAATGCCAGCACTTGGGAGGCTGAGGCAGGAGGATTGCTGTGAGTTCGAGACCAGCCTGGGCCACATAGTGAGTTCCAGGTCAGTCTCAACTACATAGTGAGACCCTGTCTCAAAAAAAAATAAAAAAAAACTAATTACAACAGCTTATTTTTAAAACAGTTCAGTGCTAAGCACCTTACGAAGTACACAGCATGCCTTATCTTTTAAAACAGTAGTACCAAACTATGCAGAGATGCAAACACTGGGCCAAGGATTTAGCTCAGCGGCACCGCGCCTGCCCCCTAAGCACAAGGTCAGGAGTGAGTTCGATCCCCATACCAAAAAAGAAAAGAAGTGCAAACACTAATGACTGTCCCTACTCTACAGAAAAGGAAACTAAAACTGTAATGACAAGAAGTAGCAAACCTACCAATCAAAGCATACATTCTTTTATACTATTTCTAATATAAAGCAGAAATAGGTGGTTCTACCACCCAAGGAGAAAAAGGAAGTCAGAGGAGGGGGAGTGAGAGGGAGGAAGGTGCTAGAGGAAAAGAGCAAACTGTACACAGTTCGCCCCGTGTACTCAGGACCTACCGATCTAGGAGCTCACTCAAAACCGCGCTACGGGGAGGAAGGGCAGAAAAGACAGCTCCTGCCGTCTAGGGCTTCAGTTGTCCATGACGCACTGCACTAAGGAGCGGTCAAGGAGGGCAGGCTGGCTGCGCATCAGCGTGGAGGGCAGAACTCTGAAACACCCAAACTGCAGTCCGCGGGGCACGCCCGGCGTGACACCCTCCCCTTGTCCCAGGGCAGGGCTGTGGATGTGACACCTCACTCCCTTCACTAGGCTGTTTCGGGACAAAGGGGAAAGGAGCCTGCAGGTGTGACTGAGATCCAAATCTGTTCAGGATGAATTCATCAAAAGAGAAATTATCCTAGATGGCCTGGCCCAATGAGGTCCGGCAGGCACTGAAAGGTAGCTGGGCCCTTCCCGAGACAGATTTACAGTAAGAGAGCAAATCTCACCCTGCTCACTTCCATCATCTTCTAGGAGCCTCAAAGAACTAAGCTACCATGCAGTGCTAGGACGGGGTTATCTGCCAAGGCCCCGAAGGTGGCCCTGCAGACAGGACGGGCAGAGCCCCAGCACACAGTCTCCGAGACACACGCATCTCCACAGCCGTGAGCGTGGAAGCATCCACTGAGATCCGAGCCCTGGCCACGGCTGCCCTCAGCCTGCTAAGATCCCGAGAAGTCGGCCGACCTATGCTCTGACTCGGCTCACAGAATCTGTAAATTAGTAAACCTATTTTAAGCCACTAAAGGTCCAGCAATTTGTGAAATGGCAAATAAAATACAATAACCATTCCCTAAATCAAAACTGTGCAAAACTGAGCAGTGTGGCACTCAAGTCCTCAAGTCTATCTGCCTTTTGAGTTTGCCTCTCATAGTTATTCCACCCTCTACTCACCACGGGCCCTCTTTGAGCGCATCAGACAGAACAGCCTGCGACTACTCGCCAGACCCAAAGGCCAACGGCACAGCCAGATTCTTCATCTCACTCTGGCACAGATGGAGAAAGTTTCCTTGCAGCCTGCAGTGTCTTACCTGCTTTAGGAATATTTCCTCCTTCTATACCAGCCCATTTCCTCCTTGCTCAAATCCTCCTTCCCTATTAAGGATAATCTCAAATATTCCACCCTTAAGAATTATTCTAATGGAAATTAATGAGCGCTCCCTAAATTGCAATGTGCTGCTGACCCGAATGACAAAGGAGCGCTCCAAGGGTTCTCCCCGCCCCGTCCCCCCGCTCCCTCCCTCTCTTCTGTTTGAGGCTACAACCCAGCAAGAAGTTTTCTGGTACAAAAACATTTCTCCTTAGAACATAACATACTTTGTTTGTCTTTATCTGAACTTTACTTTTCTCCTTAAGCTGCTTTCCTTAACCCACGCTTCCGGTCCCACACAACGTGCGAGCCCTCCGTCAGGGCCGCACAGAAGCCTCTCCACTCTCGCAGAAGGGCCCTGTCCTACGACAGACACCATCCTCAGTGACGTCCCCCGAAAACACTCTATGCATAAACCCCTCGGGATGAAGGGGCTGCCATCCCAGTGCCTCTCACACTCGACACAGCGGATTCCAGGGAGGCCCGCTTTACAGTTAGACTGAATACCTGCAAGGAAGCGGGGCACACAGAAGGGCGGCAAAACCCTTTGCCAGTATTGTGCTGCAGTTTATTGCTCTGTATTTTGTTACAACATTTAAAAATGTTTATGTCATAGACAGGCAAGAAATTAATCGGTGCTCTGTGGTAAGGGTTAAAAAATTGCCTTGCACAGAGAAACAGGTTCATCTTTATTAAATCCTCACTGCAATGCTTTGAAAAACAAAAGCAGTAAGCATCCTGGCAGCACTAAAAAAGTAGTGTCTGAAAAAAAAGAAACAAATTATAAAAGCTTAAAACTATGAAGTAATTTGGAGCTACTGAACACAGGAATAAGTCTCAGAAAGCTTAACAGCCAGTCCAATAGCTTTGTTTTATGAGCACAAACAGTACAACCAGTGTTCCAACTGCCCTTAGCCCCTCAGATACCCTATTACTCCTTAGATACCTTACTTATAAAGAACTCATATTCTGCCTCCTATTATGGTTATTTTTTATAAGTACATTTACCACATACAATGATCACATTCATCACAAGGAATTGGTAGCTGTACATAATCTTAATTCTTATGATTATTTTTTAACATCTGTTCTAAGTCCCGTTTGATAGATCTCTCTGAAAACAAGAGTCATATCTGCAGTGTCCGAGGAGACTGTGAGTCTAAGTCAAACGTAATTTTTGCGAATTTTTGCGAATTTTCATTTCACTAGTATTATAAACTTTTACTTTCAAGCCTACAAAAATAGAAAAAAATTATAGAATACCTCTAGAAAATGTTAATATTCATCAAACGTAATATCATGCCATGTCTGTTCTGTCTACACACATAACTCAAAACTGTCAGGTTTCACTAAACTGTTAGAAAATGAGTTATAAATATGAGGTGTGAACAAGAAGTACGGTCACTGTTGAAATTTTAAAATTTATTTTAAAAACACACTGCCATTTTCCCTCTCAGAGTAGCCCCCCACCCTGCTCACACTGATCCCACTGTTCCCGCCTCTTCCCGAAGCGGCTTTGGAAGTCCTCTTTCACGAGTGTGCTTAGTGCTGCTGTCATGGCTGCCCTGGCATCCCGAATCCACTCAAAACATTTGCTTTTCGTGGTCTGGCTGACTTTGGGGGAGAGCCAGAAGTTGCAGTGTCAATCCAGCAACAAGGTGGGTGAGGAAGCACCGTGATGAGTACCTTCTTGCTGCTGGCTGGCACTTAGTAGTGTTCACCACATTTTTAAATCGCACCTTGTAAAGACACAAAACAGGACTTGCAGAACTACTTCAGAAAGTGGCCTAAATGTGATCCAAATAAGGAGGATCGATGGTAATGTGTCTTCAATAACATTTTACATTTAAATACTCACCATGTATTTTGGTCACGTTTAGCATGACACCTAATACCTAAATTCCGTATTCCGTTACACATGTCCTATGAAGAAATCTCCCTAACAAATCACACCAAAAAACAACTCTCACAATAGCTACTGCCCCCCAAAAAGCCATTTTCCTATATACCACTACATAATTTCCAATGAGTTGCCAATGAGACTAAAAACTGCATCAATATACATACAATTTTAGAAACAAAAACATTAAAAATTGAGTTTAATAATATAAATCAATGTATTTTCTAAACTATTCTAATTTTTAACATTTCACAGGAAAAATACATTACTTATACATACTTAAAAGTTAGTTCTTTTTTACTCTATAATGCTTAAACCAGTCTTAAATTTATGAATATTATAAATATTCTCAACATCAATTTTTATTGATCTTCCAATAGATTTTATCTTATGTCCATTGAAAATGCAGCTCAAATTCCATACACAGAGATACCTTTGCTCTAAAATATATAACAATGACATTCTAAATATTTAACAGGATATTTTTCATGATCAGAGACAACATATTAAAATACCCTTATTTTGTCAGGATTTGACTGAATTTTTTAGTATACTGCTTCTTCATATGCGCCAAAAGGAAAACTACTATGAATACAAAATGAGATTAAACTACTGTCTCTGAATTACTTAACAAACAACTTCAACACATGGTTAACAAGTTTTTAGCCTGCTTATTAATCCAAAAATAAAAGGCAAAAAAATGATTTCAACAATAAAGGCAATTTATCTTAAACTATAATTAACTAAGATGTAATAAGAAAAAACTATAAGGAGCAGTTGATATTATTCGATCATTGCTACTGTAAGGTCTTGATGACTGGAAGTATAAAAATGCCAGATAATAATGAAGGAAATGTCATGCTCTAATATACGCTTGGGTGACATGTTTCATGTTCCTGCAGCCCCACCAAAGCTCTTGGGCTCAGACAAACCTGATGTTTTTCTTTTTCACACCTTATCAGAACCTAACAAAATAATTTTCTGTCCTCTTTTATCAATTAAGGGCTTCATCTTTTTGCAAATTTCATAAAATTAACTTAAATATCATGTTAAGCATACATTAAATTTTTACTCAGAACATGCTCCTTTTTCATTCAGGAGTTTTATTTTCAAGAGATTGACATTATGTGACCCCCCCAAATTTCTTAACATTCAAAGATTTAAACGTATGCAACCAATAAATTTTTACAATAAATAAACTGAGCTATATTTTACATGAAAAATTTGACATCTAATCAACAAACATCATTGCTGAGATGAAGGTTTACTTACATTTGTAATAGCTATAGCATTTTTATCATAATATTTCTTCTTTTCATATTTATCTCTGATGAAAAATTCTACTGCTCTGAAAACAGATGACTTAAGGAAAACCAAGAGTTCAGTCACATGTAAAAGCCTTTTATTCATTCCTCTCAGTAAGGCCTCCCTGCTAAGCTTAAATTTTCTATTCTATAGTCTGGGCTTCCTCTCACACTATTTCTGCAACTAAGTTCTGTAGCCTATTTTGTTTTCTCCCAAAGAAAATGTACTACACTTTCTGAGAAATTTCTCATTAAACAAAAACCACCACACCCAATTTCAGAGGGAAAAATAACTGACTACAACTCTTACATCCTCCGTTACCAACCCCATCCCTACTACCAAACTCTAAATTAACAGGTTCATTCTGAGGTTTACAGTGTAAGTAAAGAAACTAAGAACTATGTAGTACTCAGTGTGCTATAGTCACTGCCATATGTTGTACATATTTTGTTTCTTTTCCTCTCACAACCCAGCAATGTATACATATTATTACTTTCACAACATGAAGAATTAGCAACTTGAAAGGATTAAATCATTGCGATTCCAACACCAATGTTCTTTTCCACTATCTATGTACCATACATTTATCACAGAGAATTCCTTCTCCATTAGAAGAAAGTGGCCATTTTTTTACTTGTCAATTTGAAGAGTAAGAAATCAAGAAACTAAAACAAAAGTTTCTGCTTAGAGTAAGAAAATATTCAGACATCATATAAGAGCAACCAATTCTTTAAAATTATACAAGGTCAACGTTGAGACACACTGTTTTACAAGTATATAAAAATAAAGCACGCAGGCCGCGGATTTAGCTCAGTGGTGCTGACACCTGCCTTGCAAGCACAAGGTCCTGAATTCAATCCCTGGTACCAAAAAGTAATTAATTAATTAAAATAAAGCATGCAGAGAAGAACTGTCTAGGACCTTCCTAATTATCAACAGAAAACATTACTTTTTAAGAAGCAACCAAAGTACATCATAAAATAAATTTTAAAAATCCTAATGGAATCATTCAAAGGCCTGTGATTTAAGGAACATGCTATTTGCTCTGTTTCTAAATGCCGCTCAGAGCAAAAAGACCTCACACAATCCTTATGTATCTTGTACAAAATCCTAAATGTAAGCCAATTCTTCATTGTTAGTTCACCTCACGAAACCATGATTTACCTAGGAGTTAAGCAAACGTTTTCCTGAGGGGCTAAATAGTAAAGACTCAGGCTTTACACAACAGTTGGTCTACGTTTTAACTATTCAACTTTGAATTTGTAACTCCAATGAAAACTCATAAACAAATAAATGGAGATAGCTGGGTTCTAATAAAATTTCATTTATATAAATAAGCGGCTAGCTCATGGGTCCATGGAAACTGACTCCTGAATTCTATTCCAGTGCTGAAGGGCTAAGAACAGCTAAACTGGGTTCACAGAGGAACTCTGTCTGTAAACCATCACTACAGACAAGAGTATTTTCAAAGGAAATCTGACTACAATTTTGTATTGTGTGCTGATGTTGGTACCTAATTCCCAAAGAAGATGGTCTCTGGTGTGCAGCCTCATTTGTGGTGCTAGCAGGCACTTATTATTTAACAGGCAGCTACTACGACTTTGAAGTTAGCTAATCCGCTGACTCTATACCTAACTATGTAGAAACGCTAGTTAATACTCATCTCACAAGATTGCTGAGTTTTGGAAATAATATACATAAAGCATTTAGCATACTGCTTAACATAACAGTAAGCATTCACTGAATAAAGTTAGTTTTTGTTTTATATAATTCTGTGCTTCAGTTTTATCAGGTTCAAAATAGGAATAATACGAGTACACCTCTTACAAATTATTTTAGGAATTAAGCAAGTTAATGTATGTAAAGTTTTAAATAAGAACATGCCAGGCAGTGCCACACGCCTGTAACCCCAGCACTCCGGAGGCCGAAGCAGGAAGATCTCCATGACTCAAAGTCAGCCTAGGCTACACAGTGAGTTCAGGGCCAGCCTGAAATAGAAAGTGAAAAAAACAACAACAACAAAAAAAACAAAATAGAGGGCGTGGGAGTTAGCTCAGTGGTGCCTCTGTGCCTCGCAAGCACAAGGACCCAAGTTCAATACCCAGTACCCCCCGCAAAAAAAAACCTAAAACAAAACAAAAACTAGAAACAGTATAGTACACAGTGCTATTTTATTTTTTTATCTTGTTATTAAAATAAAGGTATTTTCATAGGCAAATCTTTTAGAACACATGACCCATGGTAGAGTGAAACAGCAGCTACAGCTAAGATGACTCACATATATGCAAGTTCAAGCAGACGAGTAAATGAGAAACAACAATAAAAGATTAACAAATTTGAAGATCAGGAAATAAATATCTTATTTTCTAGTTGCAAGGTATCATTTTGAGATGGAAGATGTCATTTGAGATAGAAGATACAATCGTAAAAATAAGAAATAAAATAGTGATGTTTGGAAGAAGCAAGGTAAGGAATATACTGATAACAATTCAAATTTAAGTTACTGCTTTGAGATTAAACAAAACTCAATATCCCAGAGTCTTGTCTATGCCTGTAATCACAGTACTCAGTAAGACCTGTAAACCTCCCTATCACCAACAGAACCAACTGGTACTATACAAGCTCAGAAAAAATGTACAGGCTTTAGCTTTCAACATGTATTTGCATTTTAGGATTCTTCCCCTTTCTTTAAAGATACCACTTGAAAGACAAGTTAGTATCTACTTCCAATGAAAAAACTCTTCCAGACACATACCACTGACAGTGGTAAAACTTTAAACAGCTCAAAGGAGAGGAGCTGCTGATTATCTGTGGTGCACAACAGGTCTCGTGGAACTGAAGTAATTAAAGTTTTCAGGTAAGATGAAATATCCTTATAATGAAAAGCTTAATGTAAAGTTTCGTCTTTTGTTATGCTCTAGCACATGCTGCCTATAATTAACCATATCCCACGTGAAAACTTTTATTTTCACAACAGCTTTTGCTAACTTTTATAAACTGGAAAGCTTTTTAAAAGCAACAAATCTTGTTAAGCATATAATGAGCCCTGATACCATATGAACTGAACTCAGTCTGGTTTCATTTGCCTCTAAGAGATGTATTTCCATCTGCAGGAGTACAGAGGTGTTAGGCTCTTCAGAGCCACGAGCTTTAGTGCTGGATGGATGGATGGAAGGAAGGAAAGCGAGCAAGCAGGAGGGCTGTTGTTCTTAGTTTCTCTAACAAAACCTCCAAAATAGTTTTATAGTTTTTTTTCCTCATTGAGTTTATTGGTCCATTTTAGGTATACAGTACAGTTACATTCATCATTGGTACCTTGTACCTCTACATGACAGGTCTTGGTTCTCATTTTTTGCCCTTGTCCCTGCCCTCCCTTCACCCCCTCCTCCCCTCCCCGTTTACAAATACTTTATTTCCATTTTTTCCTTTTCTCATATTTTTTCTTTTCTATCATTATTATTATTATTATTATTATTTTCCCTTATAAACAGTTTTATAGTTAAAACACGAAATAATCAAAGTGTTCTTCTTTCTTCTGGCTGGACTGGAACTCACAATCTTCTTGCCTCCATGTGCCCAGCACTGAGATCACAGGCTTGCACTACCTCACCCACTTTTGGACTTTTGGTTTTGGGGTTTTGTAAGATGAGGTCTTAGCATTGCCCAGGCTGCTCCAAATCTCAGGCTGATGCAATCCTCCCACCACAGCTTTCAAGATGCTGGGACCACAGGTGAGCACCGCCATGCCTGTCCCTGCTTCCCTCCTCTCTGTCCCTCTCCCACAGCTGTTTGTATCACTGAAAGCTCTAACAGGTTCGCCATCATGGGCTTAGTGCAACTGTTATTAAAACAGCAAAGTACCTAAACTATTATTTCCAACATCTTCACTGTGTCAAAGATCAAGAATTTTCTGATAGCAGACATCAATTCTTCTTTTCTGAAATTAACTCTGGTCCCAAACACCTGAAATAATAATGCACTATCTCACTAACCAACACTTTACTTAACTTCATCAAAAAATTGAAATACTATACCTATCAACCTACACAAAATGGTGCATGCAAGAAATCAACACACCAGGCTACTGAAGCTATATATCATCTTTCCCAGAATATCTTCGGGGATAACACATGGAATCAGGATGATCAACTAAATAACCTGGAGGCTGCTTTAATCCACAGGATACAACACGAGAGACAAAACCAAAACTTTCATTAAGGGAACAGTTCAAAAGGAAGAGATAACAATTACATACACACCAAATACTGGCACAGACAACTTCACAAAACAGACACTACTGGACGTGAAACCAAATAAACACCAACAGCACTCTAACAGGAGACCTCAATACTCCACTGTCACAGACAGGCAGATCAAACAGACAAAAAAATCAACAAACAAATACCAGAGTGGAACCAAATCTTCAAACAAATGGAGTTAATAGATATCTACAGATTTTCCATCCCCAAACAAGAGAACACACATTCTTCAGCAAAGAGACTAGCCCATAAAGTATGCTTAAATACAAAAGGATAGAAATTAACCTCTGCATATTATCAGGTCATAGTAAATGAAACTACAAAACAATGACATAAGAAACCACAGAAACTACATAAACCCATGAAAATTAAATACTATTCTATTGAATAATCAATGGGCCACAGGTGAAATTAAAAAAGAAGTTAGTCCCTGCAATCAAACAATGTCAGTATGACATCCCAGAACCTATGAGATACAATGAAAGCAGCTCAAAAAGGGAAGTTAACAGCAGTGAATTCCCACACCAGAAAAACAGAGCAAGCTCTAATAAACAACCTAATGATACACCTCAAGGTCCTAGAAAAAAAGAAAAAGCCAAACCCAAAGCTAGCTTAAGGAAGGAAATTGTAAGTATCGGTAAAAATTAGTGGAATTGAGAATTAAAAAAAAAAAAAGAGGCCACAGATCCACAGATGTATGTAGCTCAGTGGCAGCACATCTGCCTGGCAAGCGCAAGGTCCTGAGTTCGATCCCCAGGACCAAAGGGAAAAAAAAGAAAGAAAG